TGTTGGCCATAAAGTAAGGTTATGTATACGTTAAGGATCATTTCTATACCTTCATTGATTTTTTGCTTGCTAGAAAATCGCTTTTTATATCTTTTATGTTTCAATAAAAACAATAAATAAATATAATATTAAAATATCGATAATATTTAAATAAAACCATTACTCATCCGCCGTGTTGACTATAAAGTAAGGTTATGTATACGTTAAGAAACACCAATGAACTTTTTGCAAGAAAATCTGTTAAAATTAAAACTATATAGATTCTTTCTCGCTGTGTATCCTGGTATCCACAGATATCTGTGCCTGTCCTTAGCCATTATTTGTTCCCTTCGCCAAAGTACATGCGTTATCGAGGGAAGTGGGCCATGAGCTTGTCCATAAATTAATCGATTCCAATGGCCAAAGATCTCAGACAACATGGAAGGGTATCGCAAGGTCATCGCCAGCTTAGCCTGGTTTTCATTTCATTTGATTTCGTTCAGTTCAGTTCAGTTTCGTTTCGTGTTTTGTTTTAGTTTTGATTTTTTATTTTGCCTCTGTTTTGTTGTTCTTGATGTGCTGGGTGTGTCGTTGAACTAAACTCCTCTATAAATATCAGCGGCGATTTATCGCATGTCTGTCCCACTGTCCCATCTACCAAAATATATCTCATGTGCGATTGTGTGCGTCTCTGCGTGGGCCTATAAAACACATGCTAGAAACAGAAGCGTCCACTTTTGATCGCTTCTAGGCCCATTTCCAATTGATTTGATTTCGTTTCTTTGCCAATTTGTTAGGGCGACAGAGAGAGGGAGAATTCTTGAATTAATAGTCCGGTTTTCCAAGAACTATTTAGCCTTATTAAATGGCTTTTCATGTTTCTGGTTGCCCTTGAATTTGAAAAATTGGAATAACCCATGTTGTTACCATAAAAAAATCAAATATAAAATATGAACATATAAATATGTCCATTAGATCGTTTTGAGACTATCGGAAAATATTAAAAAAATTACAGAGCCTATAATCTTTATTAAAATTGTATTCAAAACACTTATTATTCTCAAATTGCAACTCACTAAAGCAGTTAAATTGTCTATATTTGTTATACTATATTTATATTTCCATTTGTTTATATGTTTTGACTTCATTAATCACCTACATTCTTAAATCTACTGCTATAATTGACCAACTAAAACATTTTGCTGGCCGTAAAATCGAAAAACCAAACCACTTTAATCCAGCAAAGTGACTTCCAAAACGAATGTCGTATAAATATTGTGAAAATTAATATCAGACACTTTTTATCATCTCGGCCGACCTCCGCCGCACAAAACAAATTAAACTTAACAGAGTTATGTGGGATGCTCTACCGTATTTCCATTTCAGTTGCAGGCACGTGCTTTAATTTGATTTTCCCCAATTTCATTCATATGCAACTCGCTGGGAACTCGCACAAGAGCACATAAAATAGAACCGCAGCTGGGGGGACGTTAAATATGCAGCGATGCCACAGTTTAAAAACCGCAAAATAAATTGTCCAATCCAATCCCCCCCCCCCCCACCTTTTGGAAATTTGAAATTCTAGAACCCCCCGCCGTGGGGTGAAATGCGGGAATTCGTTGGCCAAAATAAAAGAGAAATGAGCAATTTTAATGAAGCCACGCTGTTTGTTGTTCTTTCCGCGTACGTGTGCGGTCGCATAAACCCCACTATTGGCCCACAATATCCCTACGACCCAATTTTCCGGGCGATCTCATTGATTTGAAGGGGAACGGAACCAGAATAAATAGAAATAAAAGCGCAGCCAATATGCAAAATGCATGGCAAAGGCACACGTGAGTATGTGAGTGTGTCAGGATAAAAATAGAAAAATAAACCCAAAAAAAAAAACGCAACCTAGCGGCACATGCGAAATGCAACAGCAACAAACCAACAACACAACGGCCATAAAACGAAAATAAAACTTACATAAATTTAGAAGTCTTGGCGGGCATTCGTGGATATGTCGTTTGTCGCACTGCTCCCAAAACGCACTTTATTTTTGGAAAAACGAAAAGCCAAAAAAAGGCGAAACGGCAACGACAAATGACGCAGCAACAGGCAAATCTGTTTTATTTCACACGCCAACTAATGCGCCAAACAAAAGCTGGCAAATTGCAGTGTTACCAGCTGCCTGCGTGCAGCAAAAAAGTGTTACCAGATGCTGTAACCTTTAAATTTCTTCGTATTTCTCTTTTGACTTTAATTTTAAATGTTTTACCAACACTGAGCAACCAATTAAGTGGTGAAAATATGTAAAAACCACAATAAGCCATAAGTCCTTTCGCTCGATAGCCCTGCAATCGATAGTTGCATCAAATTGCTGAAAATCAGAGTTGCAAAGCAGCTTAGGCCATTCCCGTTATGCGGCTGGAAAATCAACTCTGGACAGCAGCTGCAAAGTTTCTATTCGAATTGGGGCAGAGCATATAAAAATAATAAAAAGGAAAAACAAGCCAACGAAAAAAGAAGCAGTCGGCGGCTTAAATTATGTGGAGCTGCAATGGACTGGGAGTTGGGTGGAAAAACAACCGAAAAGAGGAAAAACAAACAGCAGCAACAAGAGTTTTAGGCAGATACACTTTGAAATAAAACATATTAGATATTAGAATGGAGAGTTCCAGAAGGGAACTGCATAAAAGGCTCAGAAAGAATTCTATGGCTATAACTAGGATATGAAAATCGTTGATTGTATAGATAATTATCGAACTTTTTGTTGAAATCGATCAAAAAATATATCAAAGTTATTTACCAAATTATACAAAATGAAACTGGATCTAGGGATGAAATATTCAATGCTTATATGTTAATTATATCTATTTAATTTAGGAAGTATGGAAAGATAACTCTTAAATATTAAAAAAAATCGATTAAGATCTAGCAAAGTTATTTGTCAAAGAATTTAGAAAGGAATTACAACTTGAGTTGAAAAATGATATATTTTTGCACTTCAAGCATTTTTTCTTCTCAAATTCAAGAAGAAAAGAAAAATATCTCTAAGATATTAAAAAATAATACAAAATTTGGAGTGTAAAAACAATAAGCTAGTGAAGTGGGGGGAGGATGAAATGGAGGAGTGGGGCAGGATGCCTCTGGTGAGTCGTGAAATTGCGCAAGCGGGACTCACTCCCCGATCCTTTTCGTCCTGCTGGCGTTGTTTAGAGGGCGTGCGAGCGAGAGGGCAGATGGACACAAGAAGCTGGCCAAATTAAATACAGCAATTTCGCAAAACGAATGGCACGCGCAAAGCAACAGCGAATAATAATATGAAGAAAGTGCGCCAAGGAGTGGGCTGGAGTGGCCGGAAGTGGGCTGAAGTGGGGTGGCCAGTGGGCCGACCTTGGATGTTCTGGAGCGTACGCATATTTTTCTTGCTTTCTTTTGTTTGCCTTTTTTCGGTTTAGTTTGGTATTATTTTTTTTTTGGGAGAGGGGGAACTTCTGCAAACATTTCTAAAGCTTCTGTTGCAATTTTTGGTTTCTTGGCGGCATGAAGAAGAACTAAAATAGGTGCCCAAAAAATATTTGCACACAAAGAGAAGGCCGTAAACTATGAGTTGCCACTGCACTGAGCATAAATCAGCTAAAGTTTTTTATTTAGTTCTTAAAGTTTCATATAAAAAAATCTTTAATTAAACTTTTAACATCATTTTACAAGAAAGTAATCATATTTTTAGTCCAAAATACAGGTGAAATTTGTTGAATGAAGTTATTTTTAAAGATGTCTCCCCAAAAGGTATTACTTCTAGCAGATAAGTACTGCATACATAGACAATTTAATAAAAATGTATTAAGATTCTTTCTTATAATTCTTTGTTCCTATAAATTCTTTGTGTCTTTTCTTCCTTTTAAAACTACTCTACTCCCAGTGTAGCTACATATTCCATATGCAAGCTTTTTTTTGAAAACTAGGAGTCGCAGGGACAGTGGCTAAACTGGACACAAAATGTTTATGAGCACTTTAGCTGGGCCATGGTCCCCGAAAGGAGACTACGAAGTCCATGGTCCATAGACCACAGTCCGTAGTTCTCCACCGGATTCCCCACCCGGCCATCAGCAGCATCATTCACATTTACGAGCCAGCAGAGGCTGTTGCTTCCATTCAACATTCACCATGCATTGGCATGAAAAATAGGGATGTGGGATAAGGAATGTGGTTGTGGGAGGCTGGTCCTCCATTTGCTATCCAACTGGCGGCAGGTTGGCCTCTAGCCAAGCCAAGCTTTTCCTCATTTTCCACCGCCAGCCCCCTGACATTTCCCCTCGATGATTATTGTCAATGATTTGCTTTTGGACCCATAAAATGAGGGCAAATTGAATTATTTTTCGCAATTATGTGTCACAGAAGAAGGATGCCAAAGATGTTTTTACTTTTTAAAGACATTTTCCGCTGAATCCTTAAACTTTTTACCCAAAAGGAAAATAAAGAAGGGAAAATACCCATCTTAAATTGTTTGTATGGCCTAGTTAGTTATAAAAATAATATCTTCAAGATGCTTTTATCATTTAGTGTTTCCAAGCAAATCTCTAGAGATTTGGAACCTCCTTAAGAATTTTCTAAAAATAGGCTAGGATGTACAGCTTAGTTCTAACCATTTTCACAAGAGATTTAAAATTTTAAAGATAAATATAAGTTTATATCTAATATCTTAATTATCAAAATATTATGAGTAAATGAACTCACCTTATTGCTTTCCCGTGTGTTGGCTGAGCTGGTAGTTATGCTTCGAATATGTATTGTATTATTATTGAATCGTAGATTGCTATTGATATTTGCTTGCAATTAGAACTAGAGCTATTAATATCCGTAGTTGGCTTCGATAATGCTGGGGGCGAAGGACAGAGGGCGGGGAAGAGCGAGAATGGCTGCGATTCGAGTCCCACTCACGATGCACAGTGTAGGCCAGCGAGAATGGTCCTGCGACTGGAACTGGACCTGGAACTGGAACTGCCCTCGACCGCAACACTCAGTCCTCATTTATCCGGCCTAATTTGCATTTTTAATCTCGATTCTTTAGTTTAGTTTTCAGAACTTTAACTTTTGGCGGCGGGGATGGAGAAAAAAAAAACAAAAAAAATAAAGATAGATATATCTGGCCAACTGCTCTCACACCAAGACACAGAAACAGGAGTAGGCACACACACACATACACGAAAGCGGAAACGGAAGTGGTAGGATAGCACTCGCGAAACCGAAACCGAAATTTCGCAAGAAACGAAAACCTCAACGAAACGAAGCGACTTCTCTCGATTATTTGCCGATTACTTGGGCGATTTGAATGGCTTTCTTTCAGGGCATTGTTCCTCGGTTGCTAGTGAGATGTGCCTCCTGCCTTTGGGATCCGGGATCTCGTTAATTTGGCTTATTTGCCACCGTTGTTGCTTCCTCGATGGCCCATCCAAAACCACCATCATCGTCATCACCATCGCCACCGGCCACTTGGACATTTCCAGCTCATTTGGCGCTGTATTAGGGGTGTGATTCGTGTCGTTTTCCGCCTGCAATCGTGGGTAACCGAAGAGCAAAAAGGAAACGGAAATTCTTTTATGGCTTTTCAATAAATTTGCAACAAATTATGGTCGTTGGTTGTGCGTGTGTGTGTGTGTGAGTGAGTGTGCGTGGGTGATGGATGAAGTGTTTGCACAAACGGCTGATGGGATTGGGGTTGGCCAAATAAACCTAGTTTGCAGGCCTGCTCTTCTCCTTTCTTTTTCTCAACCGGGTACAGTGCGTTTCAGGACTTTAAAGTGGGCTATCGATCGGGTGCCGTTGGCCTAATGAGGTCGCTTACTTAATGCAGTAATCAAATGATATCTGGCGTTAATCAAGAGGCTTCACTTGGACTTGAGGTTAAATTAGGTCAGTCTCTTCATCATTTTAATACACACAAAAAAAATGTGTGGCTAATAGAAATAAACTATTTTTCAGTTCCTCTCTATACTTTAAGATAAACCTTTCTTATAGCTTAACTTTCCGATATTACTAAAAATAATCTTTATATTTCCAGAATATTTCAGGAAACCCTTGAAGGAAACTAATTAAATTCTGTAAGCCCAAGATCAAATAGGAGCCCGGAATTTCCGCAATCTTGTAAAGTTTTTGGTATGCCCTTTGTGCTGGAAAAACCTGATGATATATGACTCCGTGGCCCAATTTGACCCAACTTTCGCAACCTGATTTATTTGGCTTAAAGCTTAAAACGGCAAGTACCTTGGCGTAATATTACTTTATCTTTCATCCTTTCGCATATTGGCTTACCAACCACCGTCTTGAGCACCCCTTCCACTTTTTTTTTTTACCCATCCACCTTCATTTTGTTGATGTTCTCCGCAAGGCTTTTTAAACTTGTCATACATTTTGATAAAGAATTCGCCTTGTTCCCTCGAGGGTCTGAGATGCTGTCAGCACCGCCTCCTTTTTGGGCCCCCTTTTCACCCCCATTTAGCCCACCCTTTCCGATTTCCTCTCACCTGGCCCTTGCAAACCCCCTTTTCGGCCCCTTTTTATGCCGCCTTCCCTGACTTTTCCGCTTCTCAGCTCCAATGCTGACGGGGCGTGCAAAATTTTGCACATTTAGGGGGGTTAAGTTGGGGGAGGGGGTAACACTGGGGAGTGCTGTCTCCTTTCCTCCGGCTATAGCCATCTCTCTCGCTGGGTCTTTAACCAAATTCGCATTCTTCGCAATTTAAGTGAATTCCTGTGCTCCGGCAGCCCGCAGGCCAAAAATGCTCCGCGACTTGACTTTGTCTTTTGTAGTTTTATTTCATTTCATTTCAGTTCGTTTCGCTTCGCTAATGGCAGAGAGTTGCCCTAATACAGAGAGAGAAAAATATGTAGCCTAGCTTGGAATTTATTACACTCAAAAAGGTGAAATTTTTCAACTTTTAGCGGTCCTTTTTCGAAAATAGCAGAATTTTTTTATGCAAGTTTATAAAAAGGAATTGATTATTATTTTTATTATACCCTTAAAATAGTAATTATATCGAAATAATTAAAACCTAAGGTAGTTCAAAAAGGGGTTAGCTTATATGACCTACTACTTTGTTTTATTTTTGTGCAAAAAAAGTATAGAGATTATAATATTCATTTATTTTTAAAGATATTTAATAAAAACTGGATTTAAAAAATATGCTTTCTAAGTTAAACACACAATTAGTTAAAAGCAAGTGTATACCTTTTTTAATTAATATGTAATGTTGATATAGGTTTAAAAAAATCTAAAATCATCCGTGCATTAAATATGACATTGAAATGGTGGCTATTTTTATCTGTGTACTGGGGGCGTGGAAATTAAGGGGGCGCGGGGGCGGTACTGCAGCCGCCCACCCAAACTGCAAGGGGCTGGAGATTCGGGGGATGGTCTGAAAGTTTGAACTTTCCCCTGGCTTCTTTTTTCCCATTTGAATTCGTTTAACTTGGCTTCTTTGCATCTCTCCTCATTTGTTTGTTAATTTCCTTCTTATTTTTTTTTTTTTGGTGGGGTTTTTCATTAAACATTTGAATGGGCGGTAGGGTATTAGGGAAAAACCAGGCCCACTTGACTGATGCTCAGCCCCACGCACACACACATGTGCTGGGGAAAATGTTCAAGGACATTTCCAATGGCGGTGCGCAAAAAGGGAAAATATTCCTACTCAATGGATCGCCAGAAACATCGCACACACATGTGAGAACCATTAAAGAACAAATTATACGAGAATATCAGAGGAAAAATCAAAATTATGTATTACAGTCGACCTGCAATGTTATGAATATGAAAATCGTTTTTAACGATGCGACGCGACGCTCAAAATATATACAGCTTTTCGAAAAAAAAAACAAAAAAAAAAATAGAACAAAAAAATCTGCGCTTTTTGGCTTAGTATTTACGTCACAACAATTTGATGATTCTTTAAATATTAATAAAAGCAAGAATGGCGAATATTATTATGATCGAGGGGGCCCAAAAACACCTACCTCAAAAAGTATGCTGGTAAGTCGAAAAGATTTTTAGTTTTGTTGGAGTTAGAGAGAAAGAGATTTCTTTCTTTTTTAGATTAGGTTAGATTTTAAATAATTTTTTTTTCGCGTCGCGAGCACTGGAAAAAAATGTAAAAAAATAGAAGAATTCGTAGGAGGCTGCGACGGTTTTAGCGGATTTTTTTTTGGTATATTCTCTCGACGGTTTCAACCACGACGACGGTCTACTAACACGGCTTAAAAGGGCGGCTCAATGGTCGTTTGGTCTTCCGGCTGCTGTTGCTGTTGCGGTTGCTAGTGTTGCTGCTGCTGCTGCTGCAAGTGTTGCTGGTGTTGCAAGTGTTGCTGCTGCTGCTGCTGCTGCTGCTGCTGCTGGTGGTGTTGCTGCCACAACTTGTGCTGCTGCTGCTGCTGCTGCTAGTTGCGTGTCGCGTGTCGCGGCTCTGTACATCGCGCCGTATACCCAACGACTAGGCGCTGGAGACTCTGATGTGCGGAACCCAGAATCGCAGCGGCCCGAATATCATCGTGTCCGAAAATCCGAACGCGCTTTTTCCGAATTCCGAATTCCGAAACGAATCCCAAAAACCAAAACCGACTGCAGCCGCCGACGACGACGTCGCTGCGCTGCCCTCGGCGACGTCGGCGTCGCGGGAGAGATGCCTATGCTTTCACCTTGCCTTTCTTTTCGATTGTAATTCACTTTGGATTCGATGTCGAAAAAGCTCTTCTCCGCAGCTTTGAAGGTCAGGCGGCAGCAGCAGCAGGCGGTGGGCAGGCGCAACAATCGCCGCTCCCCCAACCCCCCACCCCCCCCCCCCCTTTGCTTTCTTTTTTTTTGTTTTTTTGCCGGTCCGGAAAAGTGGAAAGCCAACTGGCGGGTGGAAAGTGGGCCAGGCCAAGCCAGCTCGGAGCGACGCAACCACCGCAGCGGAATGCAGCAGATTTTCGAAATTCCACTCTTCCACATGCCAAAGCTTTTCCAGGAAAAGCTCCGCCAGGATTATGACCGTTAAAAGGATAATAAACTAAAATTCTTTAAAAAACAATTTGTTTTATGGTTAATTAAAAAACGTTATTGCTAAAAAATTTTTAAATGTTAGCATTTAATTTTCGAACTCAAAGTTTTTGAAACATATATCTTCCTTAACAATATTCTATTGGCTTTAAAACTATATTCTATTTATAATATTCGTATAACATAAAAGGTTTACCCTGCGTATCACATTTATAAACGTAAGAACAAAAATATAATTTAAATTAAAATTTTGACAGAAAAAAAACGATTTATTAGAAACAAAAATTATATGTTTCAGTTAGGTTTTGCTATGTTTTCATGGATTCGGACTCATTTCGAACGCTTGACACTAGACACTTGGTTAATAATAGATAAAAGATATTATTATTTATAAGAAATTTTAAGCTCTGAAGAATTTGACAAAATAAATTTGAAAACTTTTTATTGAATTTTAAACATTAACGTCCAATGGAAATCTTGGCTTTAAGTCTTAGTAAAGCTCATTCAAAAAGCTTATAGCCGACCATTTATGCTAAAGTTTGTGGGTAAAAGTCCTGAAAGAGGTGAGTTTATGAACTGGGGTATTAGCTATTTAATTCTGATTAAAAAAATGTCTGTATAGATTATTTGCTCTAAAACATTTGTTAAGAAGGTTAAAAACAATTAACTAAAATCTTATCTATTTTGTTCTTATAATCACATTGTAAAATATGCAAATAAATGTTAGCCTACATATCTTATAAACAGAAACTTTAAATATAAAACGCATAATATTTGGATCATTATTTATTATTTTTTATTTGCAGATAAATATGAAAGGGTATGTAAAGGGCTGCTAATAAACAAACTTATTATTTATAAACTTGTACCAGGGTGATGACAACAGTAGACATGGCGACGGAAAAACAATCCAGAGCCAACCAAGTGCTGTCAGTCGGTGCGAAACCGATCAAAACCTATCCACATACAGTCGGACTTTCTCTCGCCCGAATTCCGGAATGTCCAGACAGCTGCTTCCCAAGGTCAAGGGCAGGGTCAAGGGCAAGGATCTGGGCAAGGATCGGGCCAAGGATCGTACTAATGAGCTGAAGACCAAGGTCCAGGGCAGCGATGAGGAGGATAATGAAGACGAGGAGCGGAGTGGGAGGTGGAGGAGGCAGTCGGCAGGAGACGGGGATCACTACGATGCCAGCCAAAAGCGACTGACTGCCGATGAACGGCCGAGTGGCTACTCCATGGACCGACTTGGTAGCGATGGCACCGGCTTCACGGATCGGGCCAGCGATGGCAACGATGGCAGCAGCACGGGTGCGCCGGATGGCAGTGCCAAGAAGACGTCGGCTGGACACCACGGCCACCATGGACACCACAGCAGCGGGCGACACAAGAAGGTATCCAAATTCCGGCTGAACTTCTCCATGACCAAGTCGATCACCTCGGCGGGCGGCAAATCACGAACTGCCAGCACCACGAAAATCACCACCGGAGCCTCACTCATTCCCGACCTGAACCTGATCATCAACCGGATGCGCGCCATGCCGGATGACTCCTTTGTCTACATGGACTACATGCTGCCCCACGACAGCGAGTACTTCACTCCTTATAGCCTGCGGCTGGTGGAGTACAAGGACCTGAACACCTACGAGCCCTTCTACACCGTCACCCGCCACGGGGTCACCTTCTGGCACTGCTCCGAGAACTTCTTCACGCCCCTGGACCAGTGGCAGCAGGAGTTCGAGCAGTTCCTCAGCATCATCCAGATACGCTCCTTCTCCATCTTCCGGCTGTGGAAGGGGTTTAAGGTAGGGTTTGGGGAAAAATAATATAACAAGGTATATTACGAAGCTTAGTAATGGGGTTCCCATCTAGATATATGATAATAAGCTAAATAATTCGATAACATTTTAACATTTTTAATTCATTTATAGTATTTATTCTAAAAAACCCACTTAAATATGGTATATTAGGTTTGATAATATTCTTAGATATTAACCTAAACATGGAAGAGATTTAATAAATTAATAACATTTTAAGATATTTCATTTTATATTGAGTAAAAGTATTCAATAAAAGTTTTAGATATTTTCTTATAAATTGATTTTTAGTTTTATTCCTTACCGAAAGTATACAGATCTTGATAGCCATAATATTTTATATTATCACCTATAATTTCTACATTTAAGGTCTGGGAAAAGACGATAAAGTGGCGAAAACTGAACGAGGCCCGCGACTATCTGCAGAACAACCTATTCATCGTGATTCCCCAGCTGGCCAAGGCGATTCTGCGCATGCGCAGCGACATTGTCCAGATGCAGCGACTGAACTTCATAAATATCTCCAACATCGAGAACTGGCATCCATTCTACTTCCTGGAAACGCACATGCGCATCTACGAGCAGCTGCACAAGACCTTTACCGATTTTCGCGAGTTTATTAGCAAGACAATATGTGAGTAGTTCTTGAATTTCTTCTACGGATTCCTTTCTTAATCCCCCAAAAAAAGTTCGAGCCTGCACGGATGCCATCCAAGCACGTGGTTTCTATCCCGATGACGAGGTCAACTACTATCCGTCGCTGAAGAAAATGCGAGAGGCGCACAGCTTTATGGATCGGGCACGAAAGAGGGCCTTCTGCAAGACCCTGACCAAGTAGGATGATCTAATGTCCCTTCTTGATCTTATACTAATACCGAACTCTCACTTTCGATTAGTTTCCTCACCTACTGCGACATGATGGTCTACCAAATGCTGTACCGCATCACGATCAAGAGTTTCGCTGATCTGGCCAGTGCCTTCGAGCTGCACGATGAAGTGGGTCCCTCGGAGGCGGACATCAACAGACATGACCGGGTGGACAAGCGGATCGAGAAGCAGCGGCCGGCGGACAAGCCGCAGAGTCCCTTCTTTCTGGCCATGCTGCGCCTGCTGCCCGATCGCATCGATGTGGAGCCCTCGGAGGATGTGATCAAGATTATCTTCCAGCGCATCACAGGTCTTATACTGGAGACAGTCCTTGAGATCCACCCATTCACCACAGATCCCTTCTTCACTCAGTACACTCAGTAAGTCACCTATTCTTTCTAGTTTTGATTGGTTAACTTTACAACATTATTCTAGACCCTCGATTATGGGACGTCAGGAGGAGGTGCTATACGAGGGCGCTCCCGATTTGCATTATCTTTTGCGCGCTGATCACAGATTTCAGTATAATCGGTAAGTATACATATTCTATAATTCTATTATTTTCACCATGCCATTTTTTTTATCAGCAAAAACATGTTCGTGCTGATCCGCAAAGCTTATGAAAGGGCTCGTCTTTATACGCAGAGGTTCACCAAAATCCGAGAGAACTTCGAGATAGACAATAGTACAGATCCCACGGTTCTTAACACCGAGAGAGGTATACGAAATGTATTACATATAAAATAGTTCCTAGCCCATGCCACTTTCAGATCTTCAGATCCTTCGAGCATTCTGCGATAGATACTGCAATAATGTGAGAGCATTGGATGGTATCTTGGAGTTTGTGTTTCTGGGACTACTCAAGCTCAATCAGACGAACTTTAAGGATACGGTGACGCCAGTTTGCTCCCGACTTCAGAACATTCTGGCCACATATCTGCCCAAATTGGCGGAGGAGGAGACCACAAGGCTGTACGAAGAAGCCCAGGACTTCTATGGCAGGATCTGCTACGAGCCACACGAAACGCTGGAGATTGTTGCCCACATCCGGTTCCTGGACAAGTGCTCCTCGGAATTGGACGAGATATTCAACGGCATCGACTATGTTCACGACCTCTTGCTGATTATCAAGGACTTTGGCATACCCATCGATGATGACTCCAAGGAGGACTACATGGACACCGAGGACTATTTGAATAGAACGCGGGAGACGCTGGAAGAGATCAGGGAGAAGCGGCAGGACTTTATCAATCGGCTGGAGGACGCCATGCAGGATGATATAGCGGCGCTCAAGGAGGAGATCCATGAGGTGGCCATCGAAGCTCTGCAACCATGGCTTCTGGATGTGGGTTCTCTATAAAAAATTTAATATTTTTTGAACTCATAGACATACTTCCCTTTTAAATTGATATTTTCCAGGCCAATTCCAACCGATTGTCAGTCACTAATAAATTGGACGCCATGCTGGAACACCTGAATAAATGCCGCGAGAGAGCCGACGAATTCCTGGGCTACCAGAAGGAGTTCCAGATCGACTTGACCATGTACGAGGAAATGGCCAGCGGCTTTTATGACATACGGATGCGCCAGAATCTCTATCGCACTTGGACCGACTGGGAGGAATCGCTGGCCGAGTGGATTGTGGCCGATTTCAACACCCTGGCGGTGGCGGATTTGGTCGATCTGAATGCCAAGACGATCAAGAACTGCCTGCAGTTCCAGAAGTATCTGCCGGATAACAACATAGTTCCCGTGCTCCAGAAATCCGCAGAAGCCTTCAAGGAGAAGC